TGGGGGTTTTTTTTTTGAACAGAGGCTATTATGATATTCTAAACGGCCGACCCGGTCTGAAAAATGATTAGGGACAAGGGAAGAGTATTATGATAGAAGTAATATTTCCCGTCCCCCCCAAGCTATGATATACCTGACGTAAGTCTTCCCTCCTGTATTCGTTAGAACCTGCCCTGCCGCCCCTAGTTCCGCGGGTGTTGCCTCGGCCATTCCTCAATTCCTAGAGTCCGCTCCCAATACTGAGTCGGTCATAACTATTTCACAGCGCTCGGGGACTACTGGCGCGGCAGTAGAGAGTTCCGTAGTCTAGCCTAGATGGGAGTTATTGAAGTTTCGCTCGTATCAAGAGCCCACAGAACCCTCTGATAGCTCTGGTGCTTCTTAGACTGTGTCACTTTTGGGGGGTGGTGCCAATGCTGTGATGGAATGTCCCGTAACCACTCTTTTGAAATTGTTCTCAGGGAGCATTGCTGTAGAACCATACGTGGGACGAGGGAACGGGAGTTTGTGGAAGTTGGCATTTAGGATCTCCAACCGTAGATCCGATTCGCGGTTTTTACATACTGCACACCTTGGGTCTGCGGGATTGAGTCACCAAGTGGCCAAGCCTCGCCATTGGCTTACATTCGTGCCATCTCGCGGTGGGTTTGTCTGTGCAAAGGCTCAGTTGTGGAGAGTTAGGGTGCAATTAGCGGGTAGTAAAGTGGCGGAGAATTAATCTTCTTTCTTGGGAAAACCCACCTGATCTCACTGTTCGGTTTCGTGGGGTGGTTGATTCGGTGTTTGTTTGCACATAAGGTGAATATGATTATGGGTGTGGACCGTGCGGCTGATTGATCTCCCGCCAAGCTTTCATCACCGCTGTGTTTTGGCGAAACAAGGAGCAGAGAGTGTACTCGAGTACTGTACAGTATGCAGAGCTCAAGAATACCCCTGTCGTTTCCCTTCCTACTTGTCTCCCTCCCCCCTCTGAGGTAGGGTACCGGGGTTTGGGATATTAGAGCTTGGCATCACATGCTATCATAATACCGTGCACTGCCGTGGTGGAGTCCGGGGCTGTGGAACCTTGTTTGCGGTCGGGAGAGATCTGTAAGACAGAGTGTGCCCCATTTCGCGAAATCGGTGCGCCTAGCCTGGGTGGGTTAGATTGAGTCGTGATACTGTACATGTACTTGTACCATGGAAGGATGTCTCACCCCTTAACCCCCACCTGCAGGTGGAGGGAAGCGAAATACAGTCGCCCCTGGCTATAATGAACCTCGCTATAGTGAACGGGGGCTGAAAGGAAAGACTGTGATTGGTGCATGAGCTGTCTTGCGGCCTTGCTATTGGCTAATCTCTATAGTGAACAGTGTTTTTTGCGTTCACTATAGCCAGGGGCGACTGTATTGCACTGGAAAAGTGGATTCGAGGCGAAGTGTGATACAAGGCCGAAAATCAATTGGGCCAGTTTCTGTTGGAATGTGATAAGTGATGCAAGCATTTCTACGAGTACCTGTGCCTTGTAATCTCGGGGGGCTTGCTATGCCGCCCAGCCCTTCCCGCGTGGACATAGTTGCGGATCACCCTATGATCCCAGAGTAGTACAAAACATACGCTGGTGTATCTTCCCCAATTAACACTCTGATTGGCCTCCTGAATACGCTGTGAGGGTTGCTTCTCCGTACGGCGCTCAACTATCGCAGCCACCTGCCGTTTTTGGCGAGTGGTGCATCCCCCAAATGCTCGGTTTACCTACCCATATTCGTGCCACTAGGTGGATAGTGGGAGCATCGGGGTTGTAGGGCAACGGCGCTTTTTCCCACCAAGGTCGCAATGCGCCGTGAATTTTTCAATAGAGTTTAAACCTGTTAGGATTTGTTACACAATGGAATACGGCAGGTTACAGGTTCCTCCCCAAGAAAAGCTGTGCGTCTTCTTTTTGGTTGTGTTCACGGGGGGCTGAGTTTGCGGTGTTTATTCATGACCGAGAAGGAGAATGTAGGAGCTCTGGCATGTTTGCCTTCCGTTCTGGGGCTTATGGCCTTAATATGGCTGCTTCTTCCGCTCCGAGAGTTGTATCTTTCCTTCACCCCTTCTCACCTCCCTGTACTCGAAGTTATCTACTACTTGGGGGAGTTGACGCAAGAGAATTACACGTATAATCCAAAAGACCTCAAAGATTCCATTGTGGGCCAACGCTTGTGTAGAGATGGCCTCAAGGTATACCATTAGGTGGTGTTTTCCATGGGATGAAAAAATCGGCTAATAGGGAATTAGGGGGAGCAATTTACAGTCACCAGTACAGGATGTATGGCGCAGAACCCGCATAGGGGACAGGAATAGACCGAGCAACAAGAACCGCCCAGACCACGACAGTCCCAATAGCCAGGACCGGTCCGGAAATGGGAACATCTCGGGCCACGGGGGCAACTCCGACAATATGGCTAGTTCTAGAAGTACGGACAGCTTAGACAGTGAGGGCAGCCCAAACAGCGAGGACAGCCCCAAAAGTGAGGCCGGATCCGGCGATGAGGATAGCTCCACCAATGAGGGCAGCTCCGGGCGTAAGGACATCTCGAACACTAGGGGTAGCTCACATAACGAGTATAGCGCCAATAGTAAGGAAAGCTCCAGCAAGGGTGATGGCTCAACCCACAAGGACAGCCCTCACAATAAAGGCATCTCGGACAATCGGGGCAACTCAGCCAACGAGGGCACCTCCAATAGTAAGGATAGCTCCAAGAACGGGGACAGCCTCGGCAGCCCGGACATCTCAAAAGAAGATACCATCTCACAAAGCGAGGAGAGAGCCGACAGTAAGGAAAGCTCCGGCAAGGATGATGGCTCAAACCACCAGGGAAGCCCCAGCAGCAAAGGCATCTCAAACAGTGCGGGCAACTCAACCAACGAGGACACCTCTAATAGTAAGGATGGCTCTGAGGCTGGGGGAGGCTCCAACGACCGGGACGTGTCGGGAGACGGCGCCGTCTCGGGCAACCCAGACGAATCAGGTAATAAGGATAGCTCCAACAGCGATGGCAGCACCAACGGTAGGGACGGCTCAAAAAACGAGAAGACCTCTAAAAAGGACATCTCAGCCGGCACAAACATCTCCAGCAACGCAGATCCCGGCAATGAGGACAGCTCGGACCGCCAGGACAACCACCCCCGCCCACTCAGCTCGAGCGATGACCACCGCCAGTACAATTGGGACAACTTCAGCAAGAACATTGGTGACTTCAACAACTACAACAGCTGCAATACAACTATCATAAATCATTGGGGTACATTAGCACCTTTAGATATCACTGGTGTGCAGCCCTTCGTTGCTTATTTTCGCCCCCAACTTATGGCTAAGAATATGCGCAGGAGACTTTATAAAGCTGGTAGCGGATGGTCGCTGGGCGGTATCACTACCGGAGATTGACCTAGGTTATCTTCAGGGATCGCACAACCTTCCCGATACTGGCACTGGAGAGTGGATTTTCAGTTACGCTAAGTATGAGAGGTGGCAGGAGAGCAGAGAATCCGAGGTTCTCTGGCTTTGCGGCTGCTCTGGGACCGGAAAGACTATGTTGGCCAAGAGAATTGCCGCCAGATTTCTCGAGGGACTCAGCAAACCTCCTAAAGGGGTCAAATTGGTCTACTACTTCGCCCCCTCCGAAGTTTCCGCAGGAGAGACAGCTGCTAATAAGACAGAGCCAAAACCGGGGCTTGCCAAAGTGCTCTGGGGCTTAGTGTATAGCATTCTGCAGCAGGATAAGGACCTTTTTTTCCGCAGCTGCAGGGATGAACTTATAATTCAGGGGGATAAATTTTTCACCAACCCGAATTCTTTGTGGAATGCTCTGAGAAAAATGATCCAGGATTACCCAACAGGCCCAGTATACATTCTCGTCGATGGTGTTGATGGTCTCGATGAATGCGTCTGTAGAGATTTGATTAGAGGGATTATACAACTCAAGGGTATCCGCAGGGTCAAGATATTTCTCTCCGCTCGGGATGTACCCCAAGTTTCTAATAATGACCTTTCTCCACTTATCAAGATCAATATTGACAAAAACAAGTGTGTAAAGGGGGATTTGGAAACTGTTATTAGGCGGAAGGTAAATGGATTTGGAGAGTGGGATGAGAAACAGAAGGCCGGAGCAATCGAAGTTCTTTTGGAGAGGTCGGAAGGAACTTTCCTCTGGGCGTCGTTGGCGGTTGAAGTTTTACAACTTTATTGCGCGGGCTATAACTACGAAGCATTTCTAAAGAAGCCCCCGCTAAAGCTTAAAAGTTTATACGGAGAAATGTTAGGCAATGTCCGACGGCAGGGTGAATCGAAACGAGTTCTGGAAGTGATCCGGAGGGTGGCACTCGCCTCGCGCCCGTTAACATTGAGAGAATTCGGATATATCCTGGCATTCATGGAAGACGAAGAAAATGCTGCGCAATCACCTCCTAGAACGGGACCCAAAATTGAGCCAAAAACTAAGGAGCAAGTCAGGCAGTACGTCCGGTCCTCTTGGTCATTTCTCAGGGCTACCAACACTCATGTATCCATTATCCATCATACTGCAGTGGAATGTCTTTTCGACCAAGACTCCCAGGATAGCACACAGGCACTGAGTAAATGCAATCTCGAATTCGAAGTTTCCTGGGACTGTTTCCGATACATTCACGATGCCATTGGAGACATAGAGAGGTCCCCCAAGGGAAAAAACAGCGGGCAAAAAGGTAAACCCCGGCGGTCAGGTTCGGGGGGAGGTCAGGCGGGGGAGCCGGCATGGGCTCAGCAGGAAGTGGGGCAGAAGCGCCGGCAGGAAGCTTTGGCCAAGTGGCCATATCTCAAATATGCTGCAGAATCCTGGTTCCTCCATGCCCGTCGGAGCATCGAGATTTCAAAGCACAAATTCTGCGAAGACCCTCACCATAACTGGTTGGACCATCAGTTCTTCCGTGTCAGGGATGTCGTACGGGGGCCATGGATTGAGTACTGCGGAGATCCGAAAATGGAGGTTTTAGCGGGGGATCAGACTCCCCTGCATGTCGCAGTCTGTCTGGGGCTCATGCCACTGGTAGAAAAGACACTCTCAGATCTCGGCGGTGGGTCAGTGGGGACGAACAATCAGTCACCACTCCACCTAGCAGCCAAGTTCATATCCGGGGTATACAAAATCCTGATTGAAAAAGCCGATTCGTCCGCCCTCACAGCACCGGGCCAATACGGCAACACCCCGCTACACGAAGCGGTTATTTCCGGCCATTGGAACATGCTGAAAGCTCTGGTGGAAAGGTTTACAACAAATGGTAGTGCACAAAGTGACCGAGTAAACGAGACGAATGATTACGGCGACACTCCGCTTCATCTCGCTGTCCAATTCGATCACTCGGATATCGTCAAGCTTCTAGTCAAGAATGGTGCAGATCCAACCATTGAGAACGAGCGGAGTGTGACAGCATTGAAATTGGGTGAAAAGCTCGAGAGAAGAGATATTTTGCCTATTCTGAAAAAAGCCGCGGAGAATAAAGAGAAGACCCGGAAGGACCCTGAAACGGAGTATGGGGAGCAGATTGGCGGGGAACCCGGGGAGGTACCTGGGAAGTCTGGGGAGCCGGGGGAGGAGCCGGGAGAGGAGTATGGGGGGGAGCATGGGAAGAAGGCAAGGAACGAGCCTGGTGAGCATCCTGCGGGGGAGCCTGGGGAGGATCCTTCAGGGGAGCCTAGGGAGGATCCTTCAGGGGAGCCTGGGGAGCACCCTACGGGGGAGCCTGGGGGGGATCCTGCGAGGGGGGCTGGGGAGGCTCTCGAGGGGAAGCCTAAGGAGGATCCTTCGGGGGGGGCTGGAGACAAGCGGGAGGTGGAGTTTAGAGAGAAGACAGTGAAAAAACCTATAGAAGATCCTAGCGGGGAGTCTCACAAGGATTCAAATGATGAGTCTGAGGAGGACTCCGGGGAGGAATTCGAGGAGGTGTCGTGGTGGGCAGGGTGGTGGAAATGGTGGAGGAAGTTGTGTAGAAAACTGTGGAGGAAACTATGCAGGAAACTGTGGAGGAAACCGTGGAAACTGTGGAGGAGATTCTGTAGGAAATTGCGGAGGAGACTCCGGAGGATGATGGAGACGAGACACTAGTCGATGTTGGGGGGGATATGGCAAAGGGGGCTCTAGGAGGAGCTGGGTGGTGACCGGCGCCTTGGGCCTTGGGAGGAGCTGATCCATGATTGAATTGTTGAAGTCAAGTTAAGCTCTTGGGTGGGCATTTCCTGTTACATCCAGCTTGCTGTGTGGATGCATAAGAAACTCCTTGGAAGGATGGAAGGAGCTACTGTGCGGCAGCTTGCTGGGTCGGAACGGAAGGAGCCCCTGGGGGGGTTGCTCCAGAGGGAGTACAGTGTTCGCTTTGTATGTTTTCTTGTTAGATTGATTGTTCTTGAAATTTTTCGGGCTTAGGCGACTGGCGGTATATCTTGGACTGGCTGGATAACCCAGTTGGGTTGCCAATTGGCTATAGGAGAGGGCATCGGGGTGGTGTATGTCTTTCGTTCGCTAGTTTCTTTCTAGCTTCAGTGAGGGCTGCGTACAGTGATTCGTTTTTATTGGGATGGTTTGGCTCATGAATTTTTTAACGACCCTATTTTCTTATCTTATTCTTTGTTGGGTCTTTAGTCAAATACCGTCCTGGCTGTATTGCACATTTTTGCATAATAATCCACCAGTTCACCCGGGGGTGGTGGTAGTGGCGAGGTTGTCAATGATAACTTTACCCCCTCAATGTATGCTTCAACTGAGACACTCGAGTGGCCGTATATGATGAAAACTCTTCATGCCCTCCTCCCTTCATCCCCTGATGACAAAAAATATCTACGAATAAAAGGAAGAATTCATTAACACGCCAGCTCACTTCCTGTAGCAATTATGCCCCCCCCGGGGTTTCGCTGTTAATTACCTTTTAACAAACCCCTCTCCTTTTTCAGTAGTCCAGAACCTGAACCTTGCAATCGCGTCCCCAGCATGCACTTAAACTCCATCCTGGAAAATGCGTTCCCAATGCACCCCCTAGATCCTGCCACTACCGTGAGGACCCTATACTCGACGTCGGCGGCCCCATCCTCCCCTACCGCTGGCTGTTTGTTTCAGGACTCCTCCGGGTCCCTGCAGCACAGTATCACCCCTGTATTCATCGCGGGCGGGCGAGGAACTACGGGCGTGCCCTAAAGTGCGAGCTCACCCATCAGGCTTGTGTCCTCTCCCGCCGCATGGGGCGTCACGCCGGAGGGTGTAGGCGAGGGCATAAAAGACGTGAGGCAGGAGAGGTACTCTATGATTGAAGCCTGGTCGTATGGGGTGATCTCCGGCACGCCAGAGGGAAATTTGGCATGGGTCTCAGGGCAGGGGTGAGGCTCCATGTGTTGGTTCTCGAAGAAAGGAAGGCATGTGTTGGCAGGATTATTTACGTAGGGGCGGGGCGTATTGTACACATCCGCTCGGAAGGTCACCATTTCGTCGTGCATACCGGTCCTCTGTACATCTTTAAGTTTATCATTACAGAGAAGATGTCCTTAGATCTGGGGCCTTCCGGGGATGTGACTAGCTTGGGTTCCTTCCGGCGGGGATAGTTTTCCCGATATTTAGTTTTATAGTGGGAGCTGCGGGAGCCACGTCGTGGGGGCCTATGTCAGAGCCACGCCGTATGTGTCTGTTATGTCGGACGGAGACTTATGGATGGGCTCTCCCGCGCACCGGATTCACAGCTGATGATGGAGGAGCCGATATACCCAGCGTTTGGAATGGGTGCTGTTTCTCTATCTTTTCTACCATCCTCCTCCCTATCCGGGTCAACTTGATGAAACTGAAGATTTTCCTGTGCAGCACTTCCTTGAGTTTCCCCGGTGCTGTGGGGAATACCTACTCATGGCCGATGATGCCTAAGTAATGTAGTAGCCCGCTGCTCGGGAGTGTGTGCATCTAGATGGTTTCCAGGCCCCCGACTGCCCTTTCTAGATTAAGGCGGGGTCGCCCATTAGGAACTTAGAGTTGGTATGCCCAGGGGAGTGAGTTATTCTCCTATAATTTTCGACCTATTGGCCCACGCCCTTCTCGCTCCTTTAGTAACTTTACCCTAGCTTTATCGCGATTTCTATTATTAGTCCTATTTTGCGTGCGTGGTGTATCGAGGGTTTATAACCACAAAATCTTCAAATAACATTAACGCTAGTAGGGGATTATGATCGCCTTAAGTTTTTAAAGGTTATTTGTATTTACTATGGGTGGATATAAATATGAAGAAGCAGAAAGGAGTTGTGATAAACATGGCCTCAATTTCCTTTTTCTTTTCATACCTTCCCATCCATTTTGTCGTTCACGAAACCCAACATATCTGTCGGTTTAAGAAAATTTATAGATCATAGAAAAATTACAATGGATACTACAGTACAATGACGTCCCACTCAAAATCTAAATCTCAATTTGCATGTAAAAGGTAAGCATCTACTGCTTGGGAAAAGCAAGTGAATTTGATTAATCCGTGTAGAGCGGTATTAAGTTTAAACACCGCCTGGGCGGTTGAAATTTGGCCTCAGTGTCCATAGCATGTCGTCTGTAGATATGATTATATCTGTTTCTAGTCCTATTCCACTCTAGTCGCAAAATCCGCCTTAAACTGTCATATGCTTTTGAACCCCCGGCTTCATCGGGAATTATTTAGAAATGCATTCTATGGCCTCACTCCGGGTCTCGATGTTCCTTTTCTAGTATCACCACTTACGACCTTGGAAAGGTATTGTTTAGCCAATGTGTTAGACTAGGAAGCGGGAAAACCTTGAAGTGAGTTAGCCAAAACCGACCGAAAAAGTAGAAGTCCGGAAATCTAAATTGGCGTCCTAGAGTAGGGAGAGCGAATTCGGGGGGAGGTGATATTTCGTATAGCCAGGATATTAGTTTTTCCCTGGTTTTGTGCCGGACCTGGAGGTCAAGTTTCTCCGTACTCCGGTGGGGGTTTGGGCAAAATTCACGTATTATTAATATTACAAGGAGATTTATTTCTGCGTCGGACCTACTTCCCCGCCCAATACACCACACGCTAACATAAAGCACCAGTAACAACTTTCCGGAAAACTATTCCAGGCCAATAAGAAGCCTTAAGTAGAAAGAAAGAAAAAAGAAAGAAAAGCAGGGTGAGAATTATGCAGATTATACAGGGGCCCGAACTGGTTAGTGTTGGGGTTAATCTACATTCCAAGAGAAACCTTCGGGCATACATGCAATCTCACATTGCTGAAATCATCCTTTCAACCCACATCCTTTCCTGTATTACTGCTACTCTAGTATTCGAAAATGGTACTCGCTTGCATATTCAGCAGGTCTCGCGTTTTCTGGGTAGGAAAAAGGACCTGGTATTGGTGCTGATACAGGTGTGCTGTGCGATGCAGCAGGGTGCCGGGCATGATGTTTTATTCCTTTAGCAGGGCAATCCTAGAAATCTTATGGTCCCTCAAATCTAGCAGCTAGCTAGGATTGTGGGTTTTTTTTTTGTGATCTAATAGTGCTGAACCCATTTAAACCTCCCAGAATAGGAAGGCGAAAAGCGGGGTCGCGAGGATTGGAGAAATCGAGCTGTACTCGATGTTGAACTTCGAACGAACAGGGATATTAAGGTCCTACCTGCGATCCCCAAAAAAACGCGGCTCCAGAGGGCTCCTGCGAGCCAGTGAAGGGTAATATTTACCAACCTAGTCATGTTGGTAGTGCATGAGATTTTGCGGTGGTGCAGTGCTTGTCGCAGATTACAGGCTCCACCCTTCGATGCCCGTGCGAACTATCCCTGACACAAGTATTCACGGTAGACACAATTGCAAAATAACCCCCCTTATTACGGCTGTCCCGTTCAAGAGCTGTTCTTGGGACCACAAAGTCAATATATGGAGCTCTGGTGCACGGTTGGAAATGTTTCTGTCATTGCTCTGGCGGTGAGGATATTGCAAGTTAGGATAGAACTATCGTAATAACACCTCCGTTTCTTCCGCAAAAGCTGGAAGAACCGAAACTCACACTAGGGGGTGGAATGATATGGTATTCTTATTTTCATTAGTCTCAGCGAAAGGCTAAAAGAGGTTTTTTTTAGCTTTGCCTTTCTCCCCTTACCCCAGAGGAGGGAACTGTACAGGTCTTAATGAGGGGTCCAGTTATTCTAGCCGTTACTGTATCAAATGCGGCAAACGCTGGAAGGCGGTTGTGCGCTGAGGTTTTGTGACGGCAGGTACTCTATTGTTGGAGACCCTTTATGGGCGTCAAGTTTCGAGGAGGGGCCTCTTGACGGAAGGTAACAGTAGGCTAACCGCACGATGGTACAGAAATGAGTAGGGGCGAGGGAAGGGTATTATAAGCAATGATCAACCCACCCCTCTGAATTCATGGTATACCAGAGGCAAATTCTCCCTACCGGCACTGTGTTCGCCGGGGCCTACCCTGCCACCCCTACTCTCCTACTTCCCTGGGCGTTACCTATGCAGTTCACCAATGCCCAAAGGTCGCTCTCAACATTATGTATGTCAAAACCACGGTACGGCGCTCAGGAACTACCAGTACCGTGATAGAGGGCTTGCGCTGCTTGGCCTAGGTGGAGGTTATTGGGGTTATGATCCGAGGATTTCGTGCCTCCTAAACTCGGTCCTTTTCAGGGGAGGAGTCGTACAGTTGCCAATTCTAAAGTATCCCGCGAACACGCTCGTTAAAATTATCTTTAGAGAGCATCGCTGCAAAATCAAACCTTGATGAAGGAATGAAAGTATCGCGGAAGTTGTCATTCAGGGTACCACCCATCGGCAAGTCATCCTGCCCAAACCCTCCAGTGAAGTGAGCTAGGGGCTCTTTGAAATGATCAGTCAGTTAGTTCGAGACTCGTCTGCGAACACGTGTCTGGAGGAAACGATAAGTGCCAAGAATTCAGCCCAGTATCATAAATTTTATAACAATTTCCTGCCCTTTAACACGCAATTATCAGTTTTAAACATAGCATACCCTTTTGGAATTTTCACGAAACGCCCTTTCAAAACGGCGGCTCGGAAAACTCAACTGAGTCTCGAGTCGGTGAACCTCTTGTTCCAAGTAGCCCCTCGGTCACCGAAAGGAGCTTTAGGGGGTCACACAACTGAGCTTTGTATCAACTGTATCTTTATCACGTGTTTAT